ATATTTAAAACTGGGAAGATAGATGAATTTTGACAACAATGGGTAAAGCCAACTTCCAAACTTCCCTGTCGGCTGTGTGACTGCAAAAGCGATTTATCTCAATATGACTCAAGTTGTTTGGTTATTTTACCGGAAACAGTGCAGGAACTTTTTGGCATCCACCTAAAAGCCATCCGGCGTTTTTACTCTCAGCGGAATAGTTTGGCTACGCTGCTTAACAGCTTTTGTGCAAAAGGCCTTAAGGCGTCAGCTCATCTAACTAATCAATATCACGCCACATTAGGAGCCATTGAGCAAAATTTATTCGTTTGTGCTTAATTCACAATTGTTTAGCTGCGGCCATACAGATAGGCAGTTAGAAGATAGGGCGCCCTTAATTTTGAACTATCGATTTTTTGGACTCTCACCCCTCCAGAAAGTTTCCAACTTGCAAAATAATAAGCCTTAAAAAGTTGGTTCGGTAGGAAAATTTTAAGTTTCTTTAGCAAGTCATGAAGTTTTTCAAATCCGTTATTTACCGCAGTATACAATACTTATCTGCTGCAAAATCCAATTAGCTTGGAAACCATCCATTCTTAATGAATTATAGCTGCGGGCACAAAGTTGGGAAAAGTTTCTATGGAGGAACTTCAATAGTGTACAACATAAATGCATTTTCTTGTCGATGTGCTTCAAATGAAACTAAGTAGCCTAATTAACATGCAACTTCCCCTTAGCTTTGCAAAGAAACCAGTTACTCCAACGCACTTGTCCACATTGAGCATTAAATCAATCAAGTTGCTACGAAAGTAACTTTTAATTAAAGTGCAACTACAATTGAAGTACTCGAAAAACTTCCGCGTTGATGGTTGGAGTTTTGTGCTGTTTGTAAAAATAATTCAGACTGATGAAGGAAGTGAATTTTTGAACTCTGGGTTAAGAGGTTGGTAACTTTCTATGTCTGGGTTTTCTGGTCTGGCCAGGGTTTTAAATGATTTGTCGTGTTCTTAGCGGGTGGCTCTGCAGGTATTAGAAGTTCCAAAATTTGTAGCTTTTTCCTTTTGGACTTTCTTGCTGTTGCTTAAGCAAAGTCGCGCTGTTTTTGCAGTTCCGATGGACATTCGGATGATAATTCGGCCCAAAACCATCTGGGGGCCCGCTTGACTGCAGATAGAGGGCGGAAGTTTCGGCCAGATATAGAGCACGGATGGCTCTATGTCTGGGGTCAGTTTGTACTTTGCTAGAGATTTAAGCAGATGTTGGAAATGTTTTGAAAAATGCGCACTTTGAGATCTCTATTGTCGCCGTGCAGGCTCTGATTCAAAATTTCCTCATTTTTCTGCTGCCGCAGATAAACGATTGAAGTTTTCGCCAAACATGGAGCAAGGACGATTCTATATCTGGAGCCAGTTTGAACTCGGCCAGAGATTTGAGCGGATGTTCGGAAATTTTTGAAAAGTGCGCACTTTGAGCTCTGTTTTGTAGCCGTGCAGGATCTGATTCGAAAATTCCTCATTTTTTTCCTGCCGCAGACGAACGATTGAAGTTTTCGCCAACCATGGAGCAAGGATGGTTCTATACCTGGACCGAGTTTGGACTTGGCCAGAGATTTGAGCGGATGTTGGGAAATTTTTGAAAAGTGCGCACTTTGAGTTCTTTGCTGTCGCCGTGTAGGCTCTGATTCAAAAATGTCTTATGTTTCTTCTGCTGCAGATAAATGATTGAAGTTTTGGCCAAATATGGAGCAAGGATGGCTCTATACCTGGAGCGAGCTTCGACTTGGCCAGAGATTTGAGCGGATGTTGGGAAATTTTTGAAAAGTGCGCACTTTGAGCTCTCTGCTGGCACTGTGCAGGCTCTGATTAAAAAAAATCTTTGTTTTGCTCCTGCACCCGATTAACACCTTACGTTCTCGTCAGATATAGAGCACGGATAGTTCGATATCTGAGGTGAGTTGGGACTTGCCAAGATATTTGACAGGTTGTTGAGAAATTTTTGAAAAGTGCGCACTTTGAGCTCTCTATCAGGCGCTTTGCAGGCTCTAACTAAAAAAAATCGTCATTTTCCTCCTGCAACCGATCAACACGTGACGTTCTCGGTAGATATAGAGTAAGGATGGTTCCATATCTGGGGCGAGCTTGAGCTCGGCCCGAGATTTGAGCCGATAATGGAAAATTTTTGAATAGTGCGCACTTTCAGCTCTCTGTTGCCTTTGTGCAGGCGCTGATTAAAAAATTCGTAACTTTTCTCCTGCCACAGATGAATGATGGGCTTTTTTGCTACAAATAGAGCATGGATCGTGCTATATCTGGGACAAGTTTGGACGTGGCCACATATTTGAGCGATTATATGAGAAATTTTGAAAAGTGCGCACTTTGAGCTTTCTGCTGCCGCCTTACAGGCTCTGATTGAAAAAGTCGTCATTTCGCTCCTGTAACTGATTGATGCCTAAAGTTTTTGCTAGATATAGAACAAAAATGGTGCTAGATCTGGGGCTAGTTTCGACTTTGCCAGAAATTTGAGCGGATGATGAAACATTTTTGAAAAGTGCACACTTTGAGCTCTCTGGTGGCGTTGTGCAGGAACCAATTAAAAACTTCGTGATGTTGCTCCCACCACAGACAAACGATTGAAGTTTTTGCTGTATATGGAGCGAACATGGCTCTATATCTAGGGCGAGTTTGGATTTGGCCAGTGATTTGAGCGGACGTTGAAAAATTTTTGAAAAGTGCACACTTTGAGCTCTCTGGTGGCGCTGTGTAGGCTCTGATTCAAAAACTCGTCATTTCTCTCCTGCAGCAGATTAACGCCTGAAGTTTTAGTCTGAAGTGAATTTTCCAACTTTGTGTTAAGAGGCTCTTTCCATGCCGGTCCGGAAATTTAAATTTGTCGTTCTCTTGGCTGGTGGCGCTGATAGTTATAGAGCATGATGCTGGCAGAGCAGTTTTTTTGCGCTTTTAAGAACCGTAGATTCAGCTGGGTTCTCTAGTTAACTCTCTGAGCCTGGAGTCTAGGATTCTTTGGCTTCAATTGGGAAAAGAAACGTTAACTCAAAGTTGTTTCTGTCGCCCGGTCTGCCAGTTAAAGTAAAACGGAACATTGGCACGTCACCCGATATGAGGCGCATAAACAGCGTCATTCGGCGCGAAATATGTAATAAAGCGTCGCGACGCTTTGCAGGCAGCAACGACCGACGCCGGCATTGTCATTCGGGACCAATAAACCCATTCTGCAGCATGCAAGCTCCAGATTCGCCAGCAGTTTGGTTCAATTCGAACACACTCTCGACCTAAAGACTCGCCTTCTGCAGACGTTTCTGCTGCTTACCTTTCTGTTCCGTTGCAACTGCTGCTACTCAGATGGTTGGTTGAGGGGGCATGAGTTCCGGCAGTTGATCCAGTGGCAGAGCGCCAGTTGCTTAAAATGGGGCCGTCGCCCGAGCTGGCCAACGTTACGCTCGTGGGTAATTTCAAGCGGCTTCTCAAGTCTTTTCTGGGAATGATCGCAAGCGTGAAGATGTGAAAGATGACTGAATGGAGCTGCTGATGTTACCTTCTATGTTTCCTAGATAAATCTAATTCACTAGCCGAACTGATGTTGGCCGCCCTGTTCACGTAGGCAGCCGGCAAGCTGTCACGCGAGGAGAAAAGGAAACTTTCCTGTTGAAAACTGCTTCGCTCCGATGGGCCGCATTTGGACATTCCGAGCTTACACCCCACCAGGTCTTGAACAGAAACAAACTCACTTGTAGCTCATTGGCCACCCTGATTGCTACCGACTGCGCCCTAATCCACACAAGGTGGGCCACACTTACTGAGTAAACTCTGCTTGGAAACGCTTTTCAGGACGCGATTGACGCTCTCAGTGCTGCTCTTGTGCTGAGTGGTCCGGGCGGGGGGGTTGATAGCTGAGTCCAAGCCCCCGCCACTGACTCTCAAACGCTCGCCCACCATACACCCACCCGATGTGATAATACCTGCAACAATGCAAAAGTCCCGTTGAAAATAATGGCGCACGCCCCTGCTCGAGGGCTGCTGCCGCCTTGTCAGCTGAGCGCTGAGGTGGAAAATAAAATTAAATCAGCGCTTTGACAGAGGCAAATACTTGTTGCTGCCAGTCTTTGTTTCAGCAGCAGTTGCGATTCAACAGGGTTCTTTCCGGCAGTGAAAAATGGTTCTTCAAGTCTAGAGGAAATTGCAACCATTGGCGGCGATGTATGTGCATTAGGATGTTTTTATAAGGGCGATTCAGGTTCAATGTTGCTAACTTCTGGATAACTTTGGAAATATGGAACAGGTGCCTACATCGAGCCGTTTCGAAGAAACAGAGGGACGAAAATAAATGGGTTTTTCGGGGTTTTAGGTAGTCGATCGGTAGAATCTTCTTGACGTTTCGCAAGCACGAGTGGCTTGCATCTTCATTTTGAGAACGTTTTTGGGGACTTCGCAAAAATCAGATTCTTGTGCGATTTTCATGAAAAATCTAGCAGTGGAAGCCTGACCTGTTGGCTTCAGACCCCGAAAATACCCAGTTGCTATCTGCATTTGTTGGGAAACTACGGATTTTCAAAAAAAGGCAACATCTGGGCGAAAACCTTCAGTTTAGGACCGTCTTTAATTAGTAAGAAAAAATCAGCATTTGTGGCTATTTTACTAAAAACTTTCTCGTTTTGCGCCCCAACTGTTCTCCATGTCTAGGGAAAATTTCAAGTTTCTACGGGGGTTAGTTTGAGAGTTAAGATTTTTTTAAAGAAAGCGCCCAGCTGGGGAAAACCTTCATTTTGAGAACGTTTTTGGGGACTTCGCAAAAATCAGATTCTTGTGCGATTTTCATGAAAAATCTAGCAGTGGAAGCCCGACCTGTTAGCTTCAGACCCGGAAAATACCCAGTTGCTATCTGCATTTGTTGGGAAACTACGGATTTTCAAAAAAAAGGCAACATCTGGGCGAAAACCTTCATTTTAGGACCGTCTTTAATTAGTTAGAAAAATCAGCATTGTCTTGCCCAAAAGCGACTTTCGCCGAATCGTCTTTTCGAAAATCAAAAGTAATAGACTGTCAAGGCCATTTCTTGAAACTAATGGGTTTTTCGGGTTTTTAGGCCATCGTTCGGTAGAATTTCTTCTTGACCGATCTCAATACACAGTAGTTTCGTTTTTCCGGTTGCTTGATTTTTTTATTCGTTTTCCCTTTCATAAAGGATTGATAGTAGATGTCCTCCAAACAAAATAATCCAAAGGATTGAGATCGGGCGAGCGTGGCGGCCATGTCATTGGTGCTTCGCAAGGAACTGTTGCGATCCGTGGTTCAGCTGATCCTCACTAGTGCTAATTTTCCTAAAAATGCCTGCGGCGACAATTTTCAAGATATCAAAGCACATTGAAAACTTCCATAATCCCCTTTAATAAGCACTGGGCTAAATTAACAACTGTCAATTGAGCGTAGCGCCATTGGAAGCCGATTAATGTGTATTTATGGGCCACTAAATCTGATCTATTATGCCAAATATTGACGCTAAATACAAAATGGATTGCAAAATTATGCCGCTGGCTACACATTTATGAGCATTTGCTGCAATCAGTGCAGTAAATATGAGCCAAAAGCTTGCAGCCGGGCTGGTTAGCGGCACCAACAAAGTGCCCGAAAGGTTTGCCGGCAAGAATGCGGAGAAATATTCGAAAACGTATTTTCAGCTAAGGTTATTGATCGATTGCCCAGGGCCCTAAATATTCGAAAACCCAGCGAAACTCAACGCAAATAATTTATTTCCAGCGACACGTAAACCATGTTCAGGATCGATGAAATATTAAATGGCAGATTAACTTTTGAATATGCCGGCGCGGATTTATGTTTTGTCGGTGATTTCATTACATTCTTCCAGTTTTATAACGCTGATTTTATTGGGAGGGTGGCTGTTGGTTGAATTTAATCTCAAAGTCCGGGGATTTTCCCGGATAAAACGACAACAACATACGAAAATTTGCAACTCTTTTATACCCTCTGGACCAGACTAGGTAGCACAAAGTCATTTGAGGCTTCTCGCGCTGAGCGAATGACCGAAGTCAAAAACCGATTTCCAAAAAAATCACGTTCGGCTGACCGCAGCTGAATCGTTAAACCAGCAAAACTAGAACGTGCAACAATCCTCCTTAAACAACAGCTAGAAATTAATTTTGCGCCTCTCCACAATTGTAGTTGGGCCGCTAAAGTTTAATCGAAAAACCACTGAAACTGGCAAACTATCAAAGATTCGGCCGGAAAGTTTTCAACTAATTGGCAGCTTTGGCGTCGCATTTGCCCAAGCCGAAGGAGTTGCCAATAAAGCTGCAGTTTATGGTTTACTGTTGCAGCTCATTTCTTTGATGTGTTTTAGCCGTGGGCCGGAATTAGCCAATTCCGGAGCAATATAATTGACCGGAATTATCGCTCGCACTGACAAAGGTAATTATGGACGCATAGAAAACCAAATTGGGTACATATGCATGCTGTTTACACCGTGCCGTTAATTAAGCCATTATTATTAAAGCGGAATTGTGCTCATTGTCGTTGTGAATAGCGGCCTTGTGCAGACTCTATTACGATGAGACGCAATGCGATAAAAGCGGTTAAGCTTTTTACTCTTTACAGCCATCGGGAAAATGAGTCGCAGACGGATGATGGCATTTTCTGCAAAATATCGCTGCTAAAAATGTGGCAGATTTTTAGTGCCCACATGAATGTAGGACCAGTTTGCATACATTTGAATTGATCAAATTTAAAAACTCGTTATGTTAATCCCGCCGTTTGCACCGCTAGAAGAACTGCGAAAATGCAACGGTTTTTTTAGGAACGGCTGCAAACTCCTATATTTAATGACCATAATCTAGCAGATTCAGGGCTTCAGTCTATTGGAGTTTTTATTTCAATAGCTGCAAATGCTGATTTTTTATTCTGATTTTTGCGAAGTCCCCAGAAACGTTCTCAAAATGAAGGTTTTCCCCAGCTGGGCGCTTTCTTAAAAAAAATCTTAACTCTCAAACTAACTCCCGTAGAAACTTGAAATTTTCCCTAGACATGGAGAACAGTTGCGGCTTAAAACGGGAAAGTTTTCGGTAAAATAGCCACAGATGCTGATTTTTTCTAACTAATTAAGGATGGTCCTAAAATGAAGGTTTTCGCCGAGATATTGCATTTTTTTGAAAATCCGTAGTTTCCCAACAAATGCAGGTAGCAACTGGATATTTTCCGGGCCTGAAGCCAACATGTCCGGCTTTTACTGCTAGATTTTTCATGAAAATCGCACAAAAATCTGGTTTTTGCAAAGTCCCCAAAAACGTTCTCAAAATGAAGGTTTTCCCCCAGCTGGGCGTTTCCTTTCAAAAATTTATAACTCCCAAACTACCTCCTGTAGCAACAAATTTTCCCTATCCATAGAGAACAGATGAAGCGCAAAACGAAAAAGTTTTCAGTAAACCAGCTACAAATTCTGATTTTTGCTAACTAAGTAAAGACGCTCTTAAAATTAAGGTTTTCACCCACATGTTTGCTTTTTTTTAAATCCGTAGTTTCCCAACAAATGCAAGTAGCAACTGGGTATTTTCCGGGTCGGACGCCAACAGGTCCGTCTTCCACTGCTAGGTTTTTCATGAAAATCGCACAAAAATCTGATTTTTGCGAAGTCCCCAAAAACGTTCTCAAAATAAAGGTTTTCCCCAGCTGGGCGCCTTCTTAAAAAAAATCTTAATTCTCAAACTAACTCCCGTAGAAACTTGAAATTTTCCCTATACATAGAGAACCGTTGGGGCTTAAAACGAGAAAGTTTTCGGTAAAATAGTCAAAAATGCTGATTTTTCTAACTAATTAAAGACCCTCGTAAAATTAAGGTTTTCGCACAGATGTTGCCTTTTTTTTGAAAATCCGTAGTTTTCCAACAAATGCAGGTAGCAACTGGGTATTTTCCGGGTCTGAAGCCAACAGGTCCGTCTTCCACTACTAGATTTTTCATGAAAATCGCACAAAAATCTGGTTTTTTCGAAGTCCCCAAAAACGTTCTCAAAATGAAGGTTTTCCCACAGCTGGGCGCATTCTTTAAAAAAATCTTAACTCTCAAACTAACTCCCGTAGAAACTTGAAATTTTCCCTAAACATAGAGAACCGTTGGGGCTTAAAACGAGAAAGTTTTCGGTAAAATAGTAAAAAATGCTGATTTTTCTAACTAATTACAGACCCTCTTAAAATTAAGGTTTTCGCACAGATGTTGCCTTTTTTTTGAAAATCCTTAGTTTTCCAACAAATGCAGGTAGCAACTGGGTATTTTCCGGGTCTGAAGCCAAGAGGTCCGTCTTCTACTGCTAGATTTTTCATGAAAATCTAATTTTAACCAACAAAGTGACCGAATTTTCTGGAAGTTGAAAGCAAAATACCGAAGAAATCAATACTGTTGCCCAAAAGTGGCATTAAACAATCTGGAAACCCGATCGGGGAGCAACGGCAAGAAAATGGAAACCCACATTTACAAACAACGCGGGGAACATTTAATATTTGCACAAAGAATAGCGGAAGAGGCAGAGAGACAAATACAAATCTCCGTGGCTCTCTATTACCCTTCACATTTCCGGCAAAGAAATTCGTCTTTAATATTGAATTTGCCGGAGAAATCCTTTCTGCAATCCGGGTTATTTATCTGCGCGAACCGACTCGTCAATCAACGTTGTAATGGGGCGTAAAATATTTTCAATAACGCACGTTTTAAGTGATGCTTGCGCCAACTTTTTGCTGTTAGTTGTCGGCTAAAAATGCTTAATAACATTACAGGATGTCCTAAAAAGACTCTCGAACTTAGTTAGATATTTTGAATCAAAGAATGTCCATCAGCTCGTAAAATTTGAAATCTTCTAAATGAAGCTGATCTGAAAATAAGTGCAGCTTCCGACGGCGTAGCTCCTCTTGCGCTATTTATCTTTTAAATTGCCGGCATTACCTCAAAATCAGCAGGGCGCTGATAGGCGGTCAGTTGCAAACTTGTTGAATGTCGGCTGGAAGTTGCAAACCGAAACCGATCTGGATTAGTCAAGGCATGGAACTTTGCAGCCGTTGCTTTCAATAAAGGCAGACAGTGTCTTTAAACTGCTTTGATTGGGGCGGTTTATTCGATTTATTGCAGACAAGTTTGGGAACAAATTAAAACTATCGAGGCAGTTATTTGGAGGGATTTTTTGGGATCAAATTTGTCATGCAACTTTTGCAACGTTGCAAACATTTTCAGTCTCAAGTGTCTTTGAAGCAAGGACAATTTGCGGGTTCCTGCACGTCTTGTATAGAAGCTGGCAATTAAGTAAAACTACCATTTTTGGACTAGCAGCTACACACTTTCCAAACATCAAATTTTCTGCAATTGTTTTGCAATTCCTGATTTTCTTGGGACTGTAATTTTTTATGGGAGGCAAACATTTCCAGTTGTTCCACAAATTGATTAAAAACCCCCTTTTTGCTGTCATTTGCGATCCCGTCTATCGTTAGTATTTCGTTTGATGTTCTAAAAATCTTCTTTATTTGTACACTAAAATGATCTTCTACAGCTTTGTTTTTATGGATAACTCAATTTTTATGGATAACCGGTTATTTTTCTGTAACAAGGTTCCAACGTTCCAGTTCACGTTGGCAATAGGTTTCAAAATGCGGTTCCAAAAGGAACATGTTACTTTTCAAATTTTTCATTAAACATGCTCAATGATGATGATGGTAGAAAGAGTAATGACAAATAATGATTTAGTTTATTAAAGGAATAAATTAGGTTTTATGAGACGGCCCCAAAAACAATTTTTAAATCGGCAAACGGCTGCAGCTGGTTCAAAGTGCGCTCAACTGTTTCGGTTTTATGAGACGGTTCCAAAAACAACCGGTTAAATGTGCTAGCTGTAACTACGGTTTTAGTTTACACCTTTGTAACAATGTTATTTTAGCGGTTAAGTTAAATACCGATTATCCCTAGTTACTGAGTTGCTAAAAATTAAAAAAAATGGCGATTTTCTTGAAATTTTCCGCGCTATCAGAATGGAGTCCCCTCTATAGAGGCAGAAATGTTCAAGCCGTTGCTCAATTTACTTTGGAAGTTACGAATTTTCAAAACCGATCGTACATTTTTGGGCCAGCGTTTCATGAAACTGTCGAAGCATTGGAAAGCATTCAAGACTCTGGAGGCTACCGAGGACCCAAAATTCCTTTTACGTCAACTGCAATAAATTCACCTATCGAGACCAGCCTCTATCCAACGGCGTAATATAAAATAGCGTAATTTATTCCGAGTATTACGGACAGTAATATCTTGATCGAAGCCGGTTATACGGGGCTGCATGTATTAGAGCCGTCTCTCTATATCATTTTTCGATCGCTTCTGTAAACTTATTCTCCATATTAATGGGGCGAAACGGCGCTTAACCAAAATAGTGTTATTTATGACGGCCTCGGGGCGTTTTTGTCGGCCGTAAATTTATCAAGCCTTGTCAGGATTACATTATGATCTTGCAACTAATATCCAATAGACAAAACACCGCCGGCCGCATAACTTCGCATGTTCGGTAAACAGAAGCAGCCTGAGAAGTTCGGAATCTGGTTGGTTTCCCCGCAGGATTCGATTACCTAAATATTATTGGTGCAATTCGGGGGGCGCTTCCCACTGCAAATAAATACCACCGGGCAACTTTGCCCAACTTCTTCGGCTTAGAGCTGGCAGGAAATTTAATTATCCAATCTCACTCTGGATATCAAATCTAATTAAATGGGTTTGGGTGTTTGCCGCAATCTTATTTAGCCGCGCTGCAAAGAAGCGGGCGAAGAGAGCGGCGCATTTTGATCATAATGATTTAAATGGGCGAAACACTGAACGGTAATAAATAAATTCGCACTTTAATTAGCTCGATTAGGCCCTGTTCCCGTGTGGCGTGATTGCGTTAGGGATGGTCGGTATTAAAACGTAACCGCTAAAATAACACTGTTACAAACATGAACCTGAAACCGTAGTTACAGCTAGCAGATTTATCCGGTTGTTTTTGGAACCGTCTCTTAAAAAAGGGGATTTCTCTCATTGATAAACTTAGCTCGAGATGTATATGCCTATAAACAGCAAACTAAGCAGAATGTACACTTGCATATGAGCTATGACCAAATTTAGAGTCTAAGACATAAGTTCCATCACAGTTGAAATGTAAAATAATAAACGTTGTAAGCAGAATGTGCACCTGCATTTAAGCAAGCTTGCCATTTTTAGATATAAATTCAGTCACACGATGCAATGAAAGTTAGTAGGGTTATATAGGCGTTGTAAGGTCGACAGATTTTTTAAAAGCATTAAGAACATGTTCCTTTTGGAACCGCATTTTCAAACCTATTACCAACGTGAACAGGAACGTTGTAACCCTGTTACAGAAAAATCACCGTTTATTCCACCTCTAGATTGCGTTGATTAAATTGTCAAGCGCTGGCTATTTTTTCATTAGCGGCCCAAATATTTGAATATATTTTCCCCTGGCATGAAGCGGGCTCAGCCATGCAGCATTATTTACATTTTGGGCCAATTAACCGGGCAGATGTCAAAAGGTTTCGGTTTATCTGAGTAGCAAACTGAAAATTAAATAAAAAACCTGCAGTGCACCCAAAAACCATCGAAATTCGGGCAAATCATCATTGAAAACCCGCAGCACTTTGCAAAAACATTAAAAAAATACACTGCACGCGCCTTCGTGCGATTTAATTAAACAAAAAGCAAACCGCAGCTCGAACACAACGGCAAACAAACCCCATTGGACTAAATGGATTAATATAGCAAAGTGCCAAAACATTCCACTGGAAAATAATAAAAAATTAGCGCAGCGATAAGGGCGATGAGTTTTCAAATTGAAATTAGTTTTCCACTGGGTCTGGCTTTAATAGAAGCGAAATAAAGTGAAACTTTGCCAGTTATAGTGCGCTAAAGCGCGCTCCACACTTTAACAGCAGCTTAGTTGTGTTTTATATCTGGCTGAGCCATCTAACACAGCTGCATTTGCTGCACTTAATCGGTTCAATCTAACGGGCATTAGCGTGGCAACCATTTCCGTATCAATTTAGGGAATTTCCAAATTCCTCACTTTGCTGAGCTGATTTAAATTGGAAAAGGGGTTGTTTGCGCAAAAACAACAAAAGCGAAATTTCAGCGTCTCAATTGGTCTCATGTAAACTTCCCTGCCAGTCATCATCAAATAATATGCAACCGGATTTCAATGAGGCGCGCTTTTGGGTCGCAAAAACAAAACCTTCTTGTCAGCTTCCGCCCTCAGCAAGCGGACGCGTGTCTGGTTTGATATTAATGAGGCAAAACTTGCCTAAATTAGGGCTCTATCGGATGCCGGTTTCCCAAAACTGATGTTAGTCGTTTGGTTGCAAAAACTACAATTCCGGCACTTTTCTTTTGAAAATTGGGACGACTTGCTAAGCGACCGCACCAGAGCGGAATGTTTTCCCAACTTTCCGCCTTTGGATATGATTACTCGCGTTTTGTTAACTAATGGGAATCCACCGCGTTTCCCATTGCAGTAATTTAAGACTTTAAAAGCTCTCATAGAAAAGTCCATAGCATTAAAAGTGGGTCTCTCAGATAAAAGAGTCATAAATTGAGATGTAGATGGGTTGATGGTTTTTTTTTAAATGCCTTGAGTTTACATCATTTTCAGCTCACGGAAGCGCACAATGCGACGAACTCATGAAATGTGAAAAACATGCAAAAAGTTGCAGATCCGAAATAATAGACTTTTCGGCACATTTTCAGCGCTTTTTGAGCGTTGCGATCTTTGCCCTACTATTTCTTCTTTATTATTGAGCCAAACGCTTTATAAATGCATATTTTTGACCTTTTTTCGTCGAGAGGAATCGATTGAGCCCAAAAAACCCGCATGTAAAATTTTGATTTTTGGTCGAAATTTTTCAAGCGGCGGGGGTTGATTTTTTGAAAAACTCATTAAAAAGCACGGTAGAAGTTTCAGATCTGAAATAATAGACATTTTCGGCAGATTTTAAGCATTTTTGAGCGTTCACGATCTTTATCCGACGACTTCTTCATCATTTTTGATCCAAACACTTTATAAATGCATATTTCTGAACTTCTTACGTCGAAAGGAACCGTTTGAGCTCGAAAACACACAAGTGAAATCTCGATTTTTGGCCCGAAATTTTTTGAAGGGTGGAGGTCAAATTTTTGAAAAAAATAAAATTTTCTCAAAGCGTCTTAAATTTTACGATATTTTCAGCTCACGGACGCGAAGAATGCACCGAACTGATTAAAAAACATGTTAGAAATTTCAGATGAAATGCAGTCTTACCTTGGTCACCCTGTAGAATGTTCTTGTTTTTCCACTCTTAATACACACACAAAACTTCCCACTCTTAATATCCCGCCAACGATTTAAGTCGCAAAAATCGCAAAGTCACACTTTCGGGTCCTTCGAGAGGCAATTCCAACAAATAAGACACTTTTTCCCAAACAAACGTGTAAAAACTGGTTAATTTAAAACTTCAATTGCAATAAATACTGCTTTACTGGCAGCTGATTTCAAAGTTGATGTGTTTGTAT